GCATTCCTGAGAAATGATGGGAACTGGAGGGTAATAGATAGAAATCTGATACCTTTACCACTGCCTCTTCTCCCCTGCTGCTGGGCTGTATAATAACCCACTGCACTGTCTGCATTATGGCCTGCAGTAGCAGACAGTGAAAGTTTCCCTGTGGCTAGACACAATCCTTGGAACCAATGAAGTATACTTTGGTCTGCAGTGGAAATGGTTATAGTTTAGGCTAGCTATACTGGCAAGTGAATTCTCTTCCAGGAAGTTTAGTAGGCCTTCTTGCTGACTGTGGTTTTAGCCATGTTGCCTGAGAACGCCCAGGAGTTTGAGCTTTCTTCTCCATATCCTCTTTCTTGAAGTAGGGAAGTGGCCTTGCTCACACTATTCTGGACAGGGAGCCCTCTTTTCTACCTACAGTTTGTTTATTTACCTTCCCAGTTAATTCACTTCAACAACTTCTTATCATATGACATTCTAATGCCTCCCAACATGCAAAGTATTTGTTCCCAGTTCTTGTCACTTGATGTTTCAGAGGCAGGTTTTGAACATGGACTGAATCCTCTCCCTCCTTGTCCTTCTCCTCTTGTTGCGCATATCTGAGTTAGGAAAGCAGTCAGTATGCATTAACTATTTGGAGGGGGGTTCTCCCTTCAGCTCTCTGCTTCCCATGAGTCTTCCTAGCTCATAGCAAGTAAGGTTTTACTCAAAACTGCCTAGGCTGTCAGGTATTTGAAATTAATGCCAGCCTGCTGTTAATATCTGTAAAGATGTATATCTGGCCCTGATTACTAAAGAGTTCTTCCACTTAGGGATAGTTAAAGTAGGTAGATTTCAGGCTTTCTTTAGATCGCTGCAATATTGCAAGGGGGAAGAGTCCGAGAAGAGGAAGGGAACCCCAACAGAACAAAGTACATGGACATGAGCTGTTTGGAGGGGGGGGGAGGGGGAGACAAGCTAATTAAAATCTTGTTTTGTGTTTTAGTACAAACATGTCCTCCTCTTCCCATTTCTCTTCCAGCAAAGGAGTACTTTGAAACCTTCCTGTGATTAATGATATTTGGGTTCTGTGGTTGGTTAGTTCCTGAATTCCCAAACCACAGGAGTGGTGGTTGCTCCAGAGGCATTCC